ATGCCTTGAGTAATCACTGGAATAGATTCACTACCCTAATCTCTAAGTTTTATTTTTCACCAATTGGCTAGTGTTATACTTGTTTATAAAAACAAAGCAACCAGACTCACTGCCTTCCAGTCAATGCTGACTCATAGAAACCCCTTGTGCATTTCTGAAACAGTAAGATTTAGGAAGGTAGAGAACCCAGTCTTTTCCCCTCAGAGCTTTTAGTGGTTTTCAACTGCCGACCATGTGGATCATAGCCCAACATGTAACCATTATGCCACCAGGCTTCCTCGTAGTACAAAATAACTGTCTTGAGATTTTTCTAAATATAAAAAAAGACGATGGAAAAAGAATACACAGAATCACTCACGAAAAAGACCTAGAGGACAGCCAACTATTTTAAGAGGTAGCATTTGAGCAAGAACTAATAGTACTGAAAGTAGAACTGCACGCTGCATTGAAAGCATTGGCCAAAATCAAGCTTCCAGGAATGGATGGAACACCAAATGAAATGTTTAAACAAACTGATGAAGCACTCGAAGTACGCATGCATCTATGCCAAGAAATTTGGAAGAGAGCTACTTGGCCAACGAACTGGATGAGATCCATATTTGTGCCCATTCCAAAGAAAGGTGATGCAAAAGATTGCTCAAATTATAAAACAATATCATTGATATTGTATACAAGTAAGATTGTGCTGAAGATCATTTAGCAATGGTTGTAGCGGTACATTGAAAGGGAGGGGCCAGAAGTTCAAGTCAAAGTCAGAAGAAGATGTGGAACAAGGGATGTCGGTGACATCTGATGGGCCTTGGCTGGAAGCAGAGAGTGTCAGAAAGATGTGTTACTTGTGTTCATCGACTGTGCCAAGGCAATCGACTGTGTAGATCAGAGCAAACGATGGGTAGGCTTTAGAAAAAGGGGAATTCCAGAACACTTCATTGTGCTCATGTGTAACCTCTACCCATGGATCAAGGTGGAGCTATGTGAACTGAACAAAGGCCTACTGCACAGTTGAAAATCAGCAAAGGTGTTTGGCAGAGTTGTGTCAACTCATCATGCTTAATCTGTATACTGAATGAATAATATGAGATGCTGGGTTGTATGAAGGAGGCTGTGTTAGCAGGATTGGAGGAAGGCTGGTGAGCAGCCTAGAGTAGGCAGATGACACAAACTTACTTGCGGAAGATCAAGCATTGCAGCCTTCAGTATGGATTGCAACTCAAGGTAAAGACGACCCAAATCCTCACAGCTGGTAAATGGAGAAAAATTGGAGTTGTCAAGGATTTATCATGCTTCGATGCACAACTAATGCTCATGCAAGCAGCAGTCAAAAGCGCCATACACTGCATTGCGTAAATGACCTCTATTAACGTGTTGAAAAGTTAGATCATTGCTTTGAAGACTAAGGAGCACCTGACCCGATTTTCAACTGCCTCCAATGCCTGTGAAAGTTTGACATTCAATGGGGACAACCAAAGGAAAAGTTATGCATGTGAACGATGGTTTGGCAAAACTATTTAAAGTACAATGGATTGTCCAAACAAACAAATCAGGTTTGGAAGAAGCACAACCAGATTGCTCCTTGGAGACCAGGCGTGCAGGACTTTTTCTCGCGTCCTCTGGATGTGGCAGCAGGACAAACAGTCCCTAGAGAGGGAGATCATGCTTCCGAAGGCCTTGATGAGCTGAATTAACACAGCGAGTGCCACGTGGGCGTAAGCATTAAAACAATGGTGAGCATGGTGCGGGACGGGGTGCGCAGTGTTTTGTTCAGTTGTGCTTAGGGTCGCGATGAGTGGTCACCCACTCAACAGCACCCAACAACAGCAACAATGACAAACTAGAACATTTCATGAGAATAAATATCTGCTCATTCTTTCATCTGAGGGCCATAGAGATTATCTACATTCGGTACTTAGTCTTAGAATCATAAATACAATCTGAATTTGTCTTAATACTAATATGGTTTATGCTGTGACCTAGTTTTTAAAAAAAAGAAAGAAAATTAGAGCTCATCGTTTCCAGGGTTCCTTATCTGTGTCTCACCTCCTTCCGCTCATCTTCAGCCCTCTGATGAATCAGCCCCAATTTCTTTCTATGATCTCGGCCCTGACTTCTGGGTCCCTCCTTACACAGTGGAAAAAGAACTTTGGTGGCATGGTGGTTACATCTTGGGCTGCAATTTGCAGGGTCTGCAGTTCAAAACCACCAATGCTCCTTAGAAAAAAGACTTTGAAGTCCCATAGGTACAGAAACACACAGGGGGAGCCATTCTACCCTGAACTATAGGGTCGCCACAAGTCAGAATTGAGTTGTAGGGGACAAATTCAACGTGAACTTTCCTTTATTCTGCAGAGCAATTCTCCTTTTATCTTAATTTCTTCCATTCAGATTTCTTCTAATCCAGTTCATTTCATAACCAGAACAAAAACAAAAATAACGCACTGCCACTGAGTTGATGCTGACTCATAGCGACCCTGTAGAATAGAATAGAACTGCCCTGGTGGGTTTCTGAGCCTGTAAATCTTCATGGGAGCAGAAAGCCTCATCTTTATCCCTCAGAGCAGCCGGTGGGTTCGAACCGCTGGCCTTGTGGTTAGTAGCCAAACTTGCAACCACTATGCCACCAGGGCTGTTTTACAACCAGTCTTATTCATAAGTTTTCCAAATAAGAATAAAAATAAATAAGCCTCCACATTTAAATAGAGAGCTGAAGCTGAACAGTTAGTTTAACTTTAAGATGCCTCAGGGGAGAAAAAAATATATTGTTAGCCCTATCAGCTGCATATTTTTAAAATGGTTAAATCCTATAAGCGTGGCCCATAAGAGTGAATTTAGGGGATATTGAGTGATAAAGTGAGACGGAGACAGATGATGCAAGGCCCGGGGATGTCTTTTAACCTATATACGTCCTGACTTTAAGCCGGGGAGTACATGACTAGTGGGTTAAAGAGTGTGGGGAGCAGGAGGGAGATGCAGCTGGGAGCTGCTATCATCCAGGTGAGGAGGAGCAGGGGGTGGAGAGAAGTAATGGGATCCAGTCATCTCTGGGACACAGAACACAGAGGACCAGGTGTGGCAGGGTAAGGAGAGCGAGGAAAATCAGGAATGAAGTCCAGTCACCAGCAGATTGAAATGTGGTGGTACCAATCAGTGCCATAAGAAATGGATGCCTAGGAATAAAGGGAGGTGATCTCACTGTAGGTTTGTGGGGTCGAAGCACAGTTGACGAGCCAGACACCTTTTTGTAGGCAGAAGTGAACAGTGAGACCCGCACCCTGAGGAAGAGCCAGGCTGCCTCTCAGAGCCCCAGTCGTCCTGGAGAACCCGGAGTGGAAGTCTCTTTTGCTGCCTTGTTCTTCTTTGAAGTTGGGACTTCTTGCAGCAAATCACTGGCTTCAGATGCATAAAACCCAAACCAACCAAACCCATCACCTTCAAGTCAATGCCAGCTTCCTAGTAGCCCTGGATGGCGGGCAAAACTTCCCCATGTGGTTTCCCAGCCATGGTGGCATAAAGGATGGGCTGTGAACCAGAAGGTCTGCAATATGCACTCTCCCCTCTCCCTCCCTCCCTCCCTCCCGGGAGAAAGGTCAGGCTTTCTTCTCCCCTAAAGATTGACAGTTTCAGAAACCCAGAGGGGCTGTTTTATCCTGCCTCCATGAGTCGCTGTGAGTTGGAATTGACTCTCTGGAAGAGGGTTAGTGAATCTTTGAACAAAGAGACTCCCACCTCTTTCTCTGGCAGAGACTGGTGGTTTAAACATTTGGGTTAGTGGCCCAGTTCATTGCTGAGCTTTCGGTTAGCTGTTGAGTGCTTAACCATCGTATGATCAAGGGTCCATTAAGATGCACTGGTGGCATAGTGGTTCTTCAGTGGGCTGCTACCTGTGAGGTCAGCAGTTCGAAACCACTAGCAGCTCTGAAGCAGAAAGACAGGACTTTCTACTCACTTTAAGAGTTAAAGTCTCGGAAACTTACAGGGGCAGTTCTACCCTGCCCTATAGGGTCACTTTGAGTCAGAGCTGGCTTGATGGCAGTGAGTTTGGGTTTGGGTTTTTCGAGGGCTATCAGAAGGGCTTAATACCTTAGTCCATTCTCTACCTGGGGGGAAAAAGAAAGCTAGAGAACTACCTATTTACCTAAGTATGACTGGCCGAGTGGAATGTAGGTAGCTGGCTTTAACCAAGTCACTCAACAATGTGTTGCTTGGGATACCAGAATTTAGCCTTGACACAGTTAGAGGGAGCCTATTATTAGAAATAAATGGTCACAGCTATAGATTTCTGACACAAATGTGACTTATGTGTCACTCTTCTGACACCCATTTTTCATGTGGGCAAAATTAAAGTCTCACCTTTTTTGTACTCGTTTTTATTGGCTCTTTGGCCTTTACTGGGGGAGAAGAAAGGTGTGATTGCTGTGGCCTCAGACAAATCGTTACACATAAGCTGCCACTGTGGACACTACAGACACAGACTGAGGCACCCCACCCCCTCTCTAAATCAGGGTGCCTCTCTGCTATAGGTTGGCTCTCCACTGTGAACCTAGAGGTTGGCTGTTCAAACCCCCCCAGCAATGGTGCCCCTGTAAACTCTGGAGATCTGCTGCCATAAAGACTACATCCAAGACAGCCTATGGGGCAGGTCTTCTCCATACTACACAGGGCTCTTGTGAGTCGGAATTGACCTGCTAGCAACTCAAACAACAGCCTGGGGAGAGAGCACCAGAATTGGAGTCAGGACACCTGCCTACAAGTCTCATGTTTTCATTACTAGACGACGCCCTCGGCCAGTCACTCACCTCCTCTGACACTTCTCTGACACACACATGAATAAATTGTTACCGCTATCACTGCACCCCGGGGGTGGTTTGAAGATCCCGGCTAAGTAGAGGGTTATAGCAAGCCACCTTTGAGGTGCCGTGGTCCCTGATAAAGTCCGTACTGCGTGCAGGTGTTGTGGCGGTCTTCTCAGGAAGAACCCGTGTTGTCTCTTTATTCTCTTACAGTGCATCGTGTGGGACTGGGACTCCAACGGCAAGCATGACTTCATTGGGGAGTTCACGTCAACGTTCAAGGAGATGAGGGGCGCGCTGGAAGGGAAACAGGTACGTCGCGGACCACTCGAGTCATTTCCCCAGCTGTAACACTGAGCCCCCCGCTCCATGTGAAATACAGAGAGGGGAGATGTCCACATGGAGTCAAGCGTGGTGGAAGGGGAACAGACCTAGATTCTTCTTCTAGCCCAACCCAACCAGTTGTGCGACTTTGAGTAAAAGACATTGTCCCACGAAGGCTAGGGTTCTCCTTTGGTGAATGGCAGAGATTGCGTGAGACTATTTTTAATTTTCTTTAGTTGCTAAGGCTAGGCCCAGTGACTTAATCACTCTGTGTCTCCGGTTTCTCAACTGAAAATTAAGGTCAATAATGTCTGTAAGGATTGAATGACATCATCCATGATACGAGCTTAGCAGACTCCCTAGCACATAGATAACACTTTCAAGACACTTGCTATGAATAGTACTATGTTTATTAATAGCTTTCTGTTTCTAAAAGGAAAGAAATAACCTTTAGATGGCCTAACTCTGAGATATAAGTTCTCTGCTGTTTCCTAGAGTTCCCCCCAAGACGAAGTTCCAGTCACCCACAGTCATTAACTAGCTTGATAAGGTGCCCTTATTTGGTTGATTCCCCTTTCTTATTGTAATTCTGGACTCCCCTACTGGTGCTTCTTGGTCTTATCTCCTACGTGAAGAACTTACAACCAAAAGCACTGCCATCAGGTCAATTCTACCTCATTAGGTTAGTCCTGGTAGACTAGAGAAACAATTTCGTAAACACACATATGTGTAATAAGGAAGAGGTTTATACACAAGAGCAGTTGAATATTGAGAAAACATCCCAGCCCAGTCCAGATCAAGTCCATAAGTCCGATATTAGCCCAAATGTCCGATACCAATCTATAAAGTCCTCTTCAGACTCACGAAACACATGCAATGACACCAAATGCAGGAAGATCACAGGCCAGTGGGTGGGAAGTCTTGTGGGTCCATTGGTATTTTAAGCATCTCAGTGCTGGCAGGGGTTTCCACATGGCTTCTCCAGTTCCCTGGTCACGGAGTCTCTCAGTGTAGTGCCATGTGTCTTGTCAGTAGAACGTCTCTCAGGAAGTGAGCAGAGAGAGAGAGTCTTCCGCCTCCAAGGGGAAATCCAGCAATTCCAGAATCCTCAGAGGAAGCCCATGCACACACAGAGGCCTCATTAGCTATCACCTGATTGAAAGGCTAAACTCCACCGTTTCACTCATAATCCTCTCGAATCGGCACATGATTATAGAACTACCACACTCATCCTGACCATATGGGACGGAGTAGAATTTCCCCCATAGAATTCCGAAGACTGTAGACCTTTCTGCAGCCAGACAGCCCCATCTCTCTCCCATAGAGCTACTGGTGAATTCTAACCACTGATCAAGCATTTTAACCCGTGCCCAGGCTTCTGCCAAAATGAACCACTTGCCCTCTGATGCTTGCCTCCGAGTTGGCTTCTCAGGAGACTCCTTCCTACTCTGAGATCCACTATTCCCATGATGCATAGAGGAGTGAAAGCAGAAGTTCTGTGGCTTTGAAAGAGTCCCTTTCCTTTGAAGATGGCGCTGTGCCCAGCCTGGTCGTTGCTGGTTAGAGGAGATGCCCCTACTCGTTGTTCAAGTCTCTTCTTTCAAAGGAAAGGTCAGGAAATTACCAAGCCAGCCCAGAGTAGAGCTGCCCCGTCAGGTTTCCATGGCTATCCTCCTTCGGAAAACAGACTGCCATATTTTTCTCCTGCAGAACTGCTGGGGGATTCAGACCACTGACCGTTTGGTTAACCAAGCTCTTAAGCACTGCCCCAGACTAGATGGAAATAAATTAACCTTCTTAGCTTTACGAGTTCAGTCTCAATCAGACTCTTTGTTGAATACACTCTTTGGGTGTGCAGGCTCACGTGCAGACCTCTGCCTGGCTCCTACAACCTGCTGTCTGTGATCTATGATACAGCCACACCGGCAAGAAACTTGTCAGACACAAGAGTCCTTCACCCACAAGCAGGACTGCAGAGTTTCAGGGCCACGGTTGAAGCCAGCACTAAATTACAAGTAAAGTCACTCCCAAGATAGCGATAAATATAAGCAGGGAGGTTGTTGCTCCATTGAATGCACAGAACCAAGCCCTGCTGAGCTAATAAATCCATGACAATCGCAATAGCACCCACTGGAATTTTATAGAGCTTTTTTTACCCCCAGAGTTTTGCCTTGTTCTCCTCTATCAATAGAAATGGGCAAATCAATAAATATGGAAAACACTTCATCTCTAGGCTCCTAAGAGAATATTAAAAGTAGGATCATAACATCTATCAGCATTGAAAACTCCAAAGTCTGATCTTCCTGCAACCACAACCCGGATCCTTACGACCTATTGAGGAAATGAATAATAGGTTTTACTGTACCACAAAAATATCATACATTTTTTAGCTCAAATCCCCTGTTTCAGCACATTTGCCCTGTGAGGTCGATTTCCTTCCGTCTGGACTCTAATAATGTTGATCGGTGTGGAGTCACTAGCAATGCTGACATCCTCTCTGCCCTCTGGGAGCTTCCAGTCTGGCTGTGATCGTTATCGTTAAGTGCCCCAGAGTCGGCTTCAGCTCAGAGCAACCTATGTGCAGCGGGAGGAAACTGTTCAGTCCTCCGCCACCCTCTCGCTGGTTCTCAGGCTGTAGGCCATTGTGGCAGCCATGGTGTCGCTCCATCTCGTATCGGCTCTTCCTCTTGTTTGCTCCCTTCGACTTTACCAAAGCATGAGGTCCTTCTCGGGGGAATGGTCTCTCCTGATAAGATGGCCACAGTACATGAGCCCAAGTTTCACCATCCTTGCTTCTCCAGACTGATAGGGCTCTGGACAGAAAGTAAACACACTCAAACAAAAATCAAACTGTAACGATCGCTTGAGACAAATGCTATGAAGTTTTAAAGAGCAACAACATTGAACCTGTCTCGCCAGTGATGCAGGTGTGTGTATGGAAGGATTCATCCGAAAAGGGAACATTTACATTGAAGCCCAATAAGGATGAGTAAGAGCCAACATAGGAAGAGCATTCCAGACATAGGGAAGAGAATGGCAGAGGACTGAGGCCGGAAAGAGCGTGGTGTGGTTGAGGCTCTTGAAGGAAACCAGCGTGCCTGGAGTAGTGAAGGAAAGGGGGCTGTGCATCCCTCGTGTTCCCGGACAGAAGCAGAGGTCAGGAAAAGCAGATCAGATGAGAGCTCATGACAACTGTGCTGCGTGATACAACAGCCACCGGCCACAGGGGACTGCTCCATGTTAGGTTTGAGTTCACGCAACTTAGGAAGAGCATTCAATCTCTCAGTCACACTGAGCACATTCCAAGGGGTCAATAGCCGCCCTGACTGGTGGCTACCATGTAGGATGGTGCCGCTGTAGGACATTTCCATCATTCCCACAGGAGAGTGTTTGGGGCAGTGCTTCGCCGGCTTCTAAGTGAGATCATTGAGAGGTGGCTGTTACATCTTTAAAAGATTCCTTTGGGTGCTGTGTACCTGGAGTGTTACAAGTGGTTAAGCACTTGACTACTAGTTGGTAGTTCGAACTCGCTCCGAGTCACCAAGGGAGAGAGAAAGATAGGCCCGGTCACCTGCTTCCAACGGTCACAGCTTTGAGAGCTCAGTGAAACCATTCTCCTCTGCATCCATTGAGTTGCTAGGAGTGAGTTTCAACTCTGGGGCAACTAACAAGAATAACTAACAACTGTCGAGAAACAAGAAAGTGATACACAGAGATGCGTTAGGAGGCTAGAGAAGAGGTGATTCTGACACACAGACTAGATAAAGTGATCATGGAGATGGAGTCAAGTGAAGATTTGGAGATCTCACTGCCATCAGATCAATTCCAATGCACAGCAACCCTATAGGATAGGGTAGCAGTGCCCCTGCGGATTTCTGAGCCTGTCATTCTTTACTGGAATAGATAGGATACTGAAGAGCTTTTAACTACCTCGATTCCACTCCCATGAAGAGTTTCAGTCTTGGAAACCAACAGAAGCAGCTCTACCTTGTCCTTTGGGGTAGCCATGAGTCCTCAGCGACTTGTTGGCAGTGGGTTTGATTTTTGATTTTGGTATTTAAACCCTGGGTCAAACTTGACCCAATAGCATGGCACTCGGTTTTTGTTTTTCGGTGGCATTGAAGGTTAAGCATTGGATTGCTAACCTCAAGGTCAGTGGTTCAAACCTACCAGCCACTCTGCAGGAAAAGGATGGGGCTATCTACTCCCATAATGATCTATAGCCTCAGAAACCCTATAAAAAGTTGCTGTGAGTCGGAATCAACTCAATGACAGTGGGTTGGGGGTATTCATCCCTTTAATGAGAGATAGGGTCCCATCCTAGGCTTTGAAGGACAGCCAGACATTTAACACCCAACACTGACAGATGAAACCAACAGCTATCTACTAGTCACAGATCTTAGCGCCCAGGGGAGGTCACTCTGGTGTCCTCTGGTTCCCCACAGGAGAAAGTGATCAGCTAATGCAAACAGGACTGTGCTGCAAGGAACTGACATGTGCTACTCAGGGATCAACTAGAAGGGTACCTGGTCCCCTGGATCGGGAGGGCTGTTTGGCTCCACAGCAGCAGAGCAGGGAAGGGAACTTGCTGATCTGAGGCCCTCCCGATTTTACCAGCTGTCAAGACAGTAAATCATATTGATCCTTACCATGAAGCCTCATACCACACAGGAACTACACTATTTGTTAAGAAAATGGACACGAGGAAGAAAATAAGGGAGAAAAATGATGACTCAAGGATGGATGGATAGGTGTTATTACAATCTCCTGAGTGGAGAAATCCTGGCAGCTGGGATTTATTTAGTTTGTGAAAGAAGTTGAAGAGCTGGATTTGGAAGGCTTCTCCCCGAGGAGAGGCTGGGCTGGAGATGTATTCTGGGGCCCAGTAACAGAGAGAGGGCTTTAAAACTACGAGAACGGGGGCAATCACCTCGGGGAAAGAAAAGCGCCCAGAGAATGCTTGAACCCTGAATGACCTCAACATCCAT